GAGAATGTCGACGGTATTTCTGGAATAATGAGAGTTATAAATAGACTTTATAAATGTTACCTGTGAATCAAATTACTTAGGAAAGGTGGAATGGGTAAAATAAAGAATAATGATATCGACAAAATTCTGAAACCAGATGGAGTTTTGCATCCTACTTTTCTGTACCTGATTAGTTCAAATGAAGGACAATGCCAGCCCCAAAATAAGGGGTGGGGGGGGGTGGGGGGTGGTGTCGTAATGACAGCGGCATAAGACTAATCTCTTTCGATTAGTTGCAATTAGCGCAGTGGTATTAGTTTACTATACAAAATGCGGCAGTTGGTAGAACACACCTCCTCTGACAGAGGCGGAGGGGGGGGGGGGGTCTTTTTAGGTAAAGACCAGGGAAAATCGGACATAAAACCCGAAAACACAGAAAAATACCGGGAAAATTATCCTATGAGAGAGTCCCGCTCCTCCTACCAAGACATTGTTGAAAAAAAAATCTGCATTCTGACACAAATTTTGAGAAAAAACGTTAAAAAATCATATTTTAAAATTTATTAGATACATAGTGCGGGTACAAACCATTTTCTTGGGGTGGAAATGCCCAATATACCCTTAATGGCCCCGCTGCTGCTTAAGTGCATCCGTACTTGTCTTCACTTAAACAGAAAAGAGCTGCCTTAATCGTTGTTATTCTCTTCAAAATAAAGGTATTAAATGGAATGTGATTTTCAGCTACCACATGCACGTAGGTCTGTTTTAAGTTTTGCAAAGACTAATTCAATTCCGCGGCTGTCCTGACTAATAATTGTTCTCATTGTGTACCGTATGGAGTTACCAGGCTTCATTAGCACAATACAGCGCCGGTTCTTAACATGGCGTCATTTGCATAGTTACGTGGAGCAAATGGCGGCTGTGGGTTTAATTCTCCATCGGAGTGTAAAAGATCAATGCCAAAAGGTTCGGCCAAGGACCAGCTGGTAGAAAGGATCCTTAACTGTGAACCTAAGTTGTACCAGGAGAGGGTACTATTGGCGAAAGCCTGTCCCCTAATCCTATTATGTAAATAAATATTGTTTATACAAAAAAAAAATTGTTATCCTTGTAAAGTATAATTCTTTCTTTCTTTTCTTTCTTTTCTAGATAAAATGTCATCAAAAATCCTTATACATGTATTTCTTAAAGTAGACTATAGAAGAGCGAATAGCAGACGATAATTAATTATATATATATATATATTGATATAATAAAGGGAAATTCCGCTTTTTTGTAGGTCGAAAACTTTTTTTTGCTCAAATTTGTGAAAACTATAAACCAAATCTAAAGAAATGTATCCCATAATGTATCTGAAAGTTTTAACTAAAAAAATCCAGCTGTTAATTTTTAAACGCCAAAACTTTACGTAAAAGTTCACGGAACGTTTTAAAGTTCGTTATGCTTTTTGCAAGCTGTTAGAAAACTACTGTACGGATTTGAGTAAAATAAACACCTTTATTGTAGAGAAATATGTCTCCTACGTTTTCTAAAGATTTCAACTAAATATAACGAGCCATTAAAAAGCCAATCACCGAAACTAGGTCAAACTGCTTAATTAACAATTAGTACTCTTTTAAAACAAATTCAGTTTGATTAAGTAGATGCATTGATAAATAGCATACTTAAGAAATATTTTCAGGTATAATATACGGGTTTTTTTGTTTTGTTTTTTTTGCTTAATGAAAAATGTTTTACAAAAAGCGGAACGCCCTTTAACCGCAGTTTTCCTGCAATTACCGGTACTAAATTTGAGTAAACGTTCTGAAACATAAATTCAATCCTGCGCCAGTGCCTTCTGAATAACTGGTTATTCTCCAACCACTCCTATCTGCTCTGTATACAATGTACATATCTTACAACAGTACGAACCCAGAATAGAATAGAGTGTATAAAACTAGGCCAAACCAAACAGTGGATTAGAGCGCCACCATAGTAATGGCGTCCGACCGGTAAGTTTTCTATAGTTGTATTATTTCATTTCGTGGATAATCTAAGATTTTAGACAGCGTTTTCGTTAAACAATGGTGCAAATCTTTCCGCTAGTGTCCATTTACATTCATGACATTATTATCAAACTTGGATGGATCCACAGTGTGAATTGGTCTGCAAATCAAAGCTGTAGATTGTGTTGGCCTTTTTTGGTGGATCACAGTCTAAGATCAAAGATGGCACCGCCTATCGACCCAGACCAACTCAATGCCTTCTCATTTCAACTTTCTCTCATGCTAACAGTCCAAAATGTGACAATCAATTGCTAATTTGTCCTTTAGAAAACTCATTTGAAAACAATGCACGATTTTTATAGGGGATGCATCGAAAGTACCGTTGTATTGGAGTAGTAGTCCATTGAACAGGTCATGTTCTATAAATAGATACGATAGAGTTATTGGTGTAAGGGAGAAAACTCTATTTAAGTTCGCTCTTAAATTACAGTCCGCATCTAACTTCTATGTATGAAATTCAAAATATCCAATTAATATTTTTATGTAAGATATCTAGGCATTGCTCTTATTAAGACCACTGTCTCCAATTAGCAATAATCAAGGCAGGGGTTTTGTGCTGTTACGCTAGATTTTACTAAGATTTTCCCGGCTGGAATGATGAATTAAAATTACCAATAGCCTATGTGGGATAAAAGTTAAGCGGCACCCTAATTAAAATTATAAGATTAAGCAATTGTTTCTACAAGACCCGTCGGCCCGTCGCCATCATGTATCCGCGACGGGTCTTGTAGAAGTACCTCAGATTAAGCGGGCAGGCGTTACTCAACTTCTTACTGTAGATCAATGTTTGACTCTGTACAGAACCGAGATATTTTGGCTAGAAATTATCGTATTCTATAAAAACATATCGTGAAACGATAGCACGTTTTCTTTCATGTATTTTTCGGTTGTCAGAATGGACCTTTCCATTCCTTGGCTTGCTTGGCCTGTCTTTAATTTTTAAAATGTTTAAAATTATGAGATTTTCTTTTGAATTTTGTTCGGTTACTTTTAGTAAGTATTTTAATACATATATATTTTAAATTGTTATTTCAGAAATGATATAATCAACCAACCAATAACACAGTCTTTACATGGTGTCAATGTTCCTGCAGTTACCATGAGCAACCATTTCCCAACTGATCGAGAATTTGTATCCACTCAGATGAACCCGAGGGAGCTGACGTTTCAGCCTCTGACCGACCACACCCTCCAACCGACACGCCAAACTGGCTTCATGAACCTCAGAGAGAAACTGCTTCACATATTCCAAGAAGAAGCCGAGCGAGAGTGCAGAGAAAATCCGAAATACAAGACTTTGACCTTGAAAGGTCGTCTGTCATTGACGGTTAACGACACGCAGAAAATTTTCATTGATATATTTGACCTGTATCCTCATCAAAACGATGCTACGAAAGACTGGAGTGAACAATTCTCACCTTCAACACCGCTAGATCCACAAACTGACCAATCTACATGTACAGTGAAAAAAATATCACCGGACAGTTGTCTGAATTCTTCACAGAATGACAGAGTTACGTCCCCTGGACAGATTGAGCCAGATAGAAGATACAATACCAATCAAGCTGTGGATGATGAAAATTCTTTACAAAATTTTCAGTCAAATTCTTTACAGCAATGTGGCACTGCTTCAACCACAAAAAAATCAGGTATTATTTTACTCTTAATCCCTTCAGTACACGAATTGAGAAGTGTGTTAGAGTCAGCCTGGACACCCTTCTTCACACTCTGGTTTAAGTGATTGTAAAGGGGTTGTCAAGAGGTTTTCTAGCTTTATCAGGGACACTGATGGCATTGAATTGCACCATTCCAATTTAGATTTCTGGTTCCTGCAATTATGGAAATCTTATGACATCACTATTGCCTTTCTTGATCGTCATTAATCAAGTTAGTTTGTCTGTCAAGTTGGTAATTGAAGGAGAAGGTAAAGATCAAACTCGGTTCTTAACCGAATTCCTCAATTGTTATCTGTTCTCTCCAATCTTGCTTTTGGGCCATGTTTGGAAGTATATAATTTTTCTGCCAAATGCAATATGATCTTGTCACTGATAAATTTTAACAATATAATTGATTTTTATTTTTTCAGATGCTGAAACAAGTCAGGTTCAAACCCTATCATCACAATCCAGTTTAGTTCAACAAGATCATGGTGAGAGATCAACCACTGGTGATACGACAGAATCCATCAATAATAAACCTACATCCTCAAATCAACTGGGGGAAGCTATCAATAATGATCCCACAATTTCTGACCCACATGATGAAATCCAAGCCATAAATCCTGCTACAGAAGCAGAACTGTCTCAAAATGTTGCCCTTGAAGCCACAAATCCAGACAAATGTTATTTTTGTAAAGATGTGTTGCCAGATCGCATGTCGTTTTTACTCCATGTTGAAAAACATTGTCAAAATCTGGCACAGAAATGTGGGGAAGATACATCTCCAAACACCTTATATCACCATTTAAAAGATGCAGGTATTTCTGTTGACGAACCTGAGCTAGAAAAACCAGAATCAAAAACAACCAAACCCAGAAAAAAATCTACCAAGACACCAAAACCTACGAAAACTAAAAATAAATCTGTTTCCATCTCATACATTGAAGACGAAGACGATGATTTCGAGAATAATGCCATTGACAGTTATAGCGATGACGAAAAAAATGATCCAAGTTTTATAGAGGAGGTAGTTCGTACCCCAACAAAGCGTAAAAGTGGACCTTCGACCAGATCCAGAGCAAAGACTGTGACTCCAAAAGAAAATTCTAAAAAATCAAATATCAGAGATTTGTCAAAAGAAATCTCAGACGTCTTAGAGAAGATAAATCCAGAGGATATTCCAGAGCTACCATTGCCCAAAAATATGAAACACACCAACACTGGCTTAGCTCCCTTTATCGCCAGACCAGTGAAGAAAAAAACAGCCTTAAAGAAGGTTACATCTAAACCCACACCTAAAATGAGTCTGAAGATAAGGATGAAAGAAAAAGCGAAGGCGTTGGCTATTAAAACAGCCAATCAGGCGAAGGAAACATTGGATCTGGAGTGTAAAGAATGTCGGAAGAAATTCACCAATCGTAAAGCTTATTTCAGACATTCTCGTCGCCATTTTATCAAGAAATGCGTGTGTGATATTTGCGGCAAAGAATTTTCCACCCTGGATTCATTGAGTCATCATCAGAGAGGACTCCATAATGAGATCAAACCTTATTCTTGTGAGGAGTGTGGTAAATCTTTTAATTTTCATCACAGCTATAAATTACATAAACAGAAGCATTCTGGCTCCAGACCCTATAAATGTGACCATTGTGGGAAATCTTATCTGACCTCCAGCCATTTAAAAGCTCATCAAACAGCTGTTCATAGCCAGCTTAAAAAAGATAAGTTCATTTGTTCTATCTGTGGAAAGGCCTTTAACTATCAAAACAGTTTGAAAACTCATTTGATGATACATTCAGGGGAACGTCCCCATAAATGTGAGATATGTCAAAAAGGGTTTGTGAGTCGTCAGGCTCTACGTACCCACGAAACTTCCTACCATGTCACGTCAAAAGACTTCAAATGTGATGTTTGTAAGAAGTTTTATAAATCTGAAATGTTGTTAAACGTTCACAAGCGACGTCACACCACCGACGTCAGCCGCTTTATGTGTGATATCTGTGGACGACAGTTCATGTTTAAATCAAATCTTGAATCTCATAAATACGTGCATCAGGAAGGTAGACCGTTCAGTTGTGATACATGTGGTAAATCTTTTAAATGTATGTCATCTCTATACACCCATCAGTACACCCACAAACAAGACACACCCTTTAAATGTAAAATCTGTGGGAAGGGCTTCAAGACAAAAAATTGTTGTAAGGCTCACGAAAGACGTCACAGTGCCGAAAAGAGTTTTATTTGTTCAACGTGTGGAAGCTGTTTTCCAGATAAAGGTGGACTTTCCAAACATGTACGCACAATTCATAATCCGCAAAAACATTTTGTTTGTAAACTGTGTAACAAAGTTGGAACACGCGCTGATAACATGCGTACGCACGTGAAGAGCCATGGTAAGGATATCGGGCAGGATAATATTGAGAATTTTATAGTAGAGGTGTTAAACGCTGATGGAATGCAAGTCATAGATCAGGCCACAAAAATAACAATAATGACCAAGGTGAAGCCTAGTGTCAGTCAATTTCAAACCCCTGATCCTCAACCAGCTTCAACTATCAACTACTCTCAGATAGAGATGTATCAAGCTACGCCCACCATTCAAAACCACGGAGCATCCTCGGGCCACCAGGAGGAGCCACATCATGTCCTACAGCATTATTCTCCCCATGGGCACACCATGCTCCCCCATCATAACATACAGCAGAGTCACCCTGGGTCTTCTCACCCTGGCACCCCGCCCATTACCCAATCTAACACTTCCATGACCCCACCTATCACCCAAACCCCTACCCCCCAGATTCCTCAATCCATGTCCCCTCCGATCATGCAAATTAACCCCTCAACAGCCTACACCACTCTACACCCTTTAACAACAGAAGCCCTGGTTATGAGTGGGTTAAGTGGTCAATATCCTCCACTATATGCTCCCTATAAACAACAATAAGTTTGTCTAAGACCAGTATTATCAGTGGCTCAACTACCATAGGGACTGGATGAACCAAGTCTACATAAAAAATATGTACCAAAGTGTACATTTACAATCAAACTAAGCAACAAGCAATATATAAAAATTTCCCAGGGGACGGGGGACCACCAATCCCACTTACATTCACGCTCCCCTCCCCCCTCATCTAGTTGAACCACTGAGTATTGTATCTTATCATCAGTATATCATCAAATGAAATCAAAAATACTGTAGTAGATTTAATTTGAATTATTAGCTTGTGACCTCGAAACTAAAGATTCCTGTTTAAAGAGACTGTACAGAGGTTTTTTAATTTTTTTATGTCTATTGCAGACACCTATAGCATTAATTTGCATCGTTTCAAGTTTCAGTCAGATGTCTGTGGTTCCTGCAATTTCACCATAAGTAACTGTTAGATGACGTTTTGATCACAAAACGTGCTTTTATCACTGAAGATCCTTCATGATTAGCGACGTGTTTTAAATTGAGAAGACCTCTTTACAATCCCTTTAAGAAAATATGTCTCCTAATAACTTGACTTGACGATAGTTGAAAATATTTGTAAAAGGGATTATCAGTATTATAACTTATTTAGAACTTTAAAGGTTTACTACCTCTTAGAATGAATATAAAATACTAATTCTAAACTTGGGCATTAAAAATATATATTTATCAATAGATTTCCCAATACATGTTATTTATTATTGATCTTTCTAATCGGTAGAAAGCTTTTGTAGCTGTAAGCCTATTATACATTTTAAATGATATTATTTTATATACTTCTCTGTATTATATTTAGCATGCTTTGTTTATAAGCTTTACAATAAATAAACATAAATAGTGTGATAAAAGGACTTTAATTTCTTGAATGAAATCTCACAACTTATCTCAGAGTTGGCATTTACCTTAGAAATAAAGAAATGGAAATATCGTGTCGATATATCAATATAACATATAAATCTCAAAAGGTTGGATCAGGTGGTTTAGAGCCGGACATCAATAACCTATAATTATCTTTACCTACTCATTTCTAGCCATAAATGTCATCCTCGATATTTTTTCAGTCTTTATTCTAGAAGAAGATAAACTGATGCTTATGTCAGGTTTTTTGTTGTATTTATGCATAAAAATTTAAACCAATCTATCGATGAGCATGTTGTTCAAAAATTAACATGAAATTTATTATAAATCATAAACTAGAGAACAGCTAATTAATAACTGTAACAATATAGGTACACGGTAGTATCTTAAAAATAATAACTGTAACAATATAGGTACACGGTAGTATCTTAAGAATAATAACTGTAACAATATAGGTACACGGTAGTATCTTAAAAATAATAACTGTAACAATATAGGTACACGGTAGTATCTTAAAAATAATAACTGTAACAATATAGGTACACGGTAGTATCTTAAAAATAATAACTGTAACAATATAGGTACACGGTAGTATCTTAAAAATAATAACTGTAACAATATAGGTACACGGCAGTATCTTAAAAATAATAACTGTAACAATATAGGTACACGGTAGTATCTTAAAAATAATAACTGTAACAATATAGGTACACGGTAGTATCTTAAAAATAATAACTGTAACAATATATAGGTACACGGTAGTATCTTAAAAATAATAACTGTAACAATATAGGTACACGGTAGTATCTTAAAAATAATAATTGTAACAATATATAGGTACACGGTAGTATCTTAAAAATAATAACTGTAACAATATATAGGTACACGGTAGTATCTTAAAAATAATAACTGTAACAATATAGGTACACGGTAGTATCTTAAAAATAATAACTGTAACAATATAGGTACACGGTAGTATCTTAAAAATAATAACTGTAACAATATATAGGTACACGGTAGTATCTTAAAAATAATAACTGTAACAATATAGGTACACGGTAGTATCTTAAAAATAATAACTGTAACAATATATAGGTACACGGTAGTATCTTAAAAATAATAATTGTAACAATATAGGTACACGGTAGTATCTTAAAAATAATAACTGTAACAATATAGGTACACGGTAGTATCTTAAAAATAATAACTGTAACAATATAGGTACACGGTAGTATCTTAAAAATAATAACTGTAACAATATAGGTACACGGTAGTATCTTAAAAATAATAACTGTAACAATATAGGTACACGGTAGTATCTTAAAAATAATAACTGTAACAATATAGGTACACGGTAGTATCTTAAAAACAGTAACTGCTTCAGCTATAACAAAATAACAAAATAACAATTCATTACATTAACAATAAAAATGATAACAATATATTTCAAATTGTAAAATCCCTTTTAAAGGGACAGATTCACCACTTTTGGGGGGAAACTTGAATATATTACATAAATAGTCTGCAGAGGTACTAGAAGGCGGTGAACCTGTCCTTTTAATGAAAGAGAGCATTAAAAATTGGTTTCCTCATTTACTCTATGATGGTCAGTGTTTGACATGACGTTATCACATCAGCTAGGTCGTCTCGTTTTAACACAGCAGCGTCTGTAAACTGAAAATATTCCTCATCATTCCCGTACGTATCAACAGACATATGGGGAATAAACGGCTCGTCAACATCAGTAATAATATCACCGTGGTTCTGACAGAAATTATGGAGAGCGCAACACACCAAAACTGTCTTCACCACATCTTCCATCAATGGACTGTCAATATACTGTAAACGTTTAAATCTTAACTTTAGTCTGTGAAAGGCCTCGTTAACCAGATTATGAGCTTGTGTATGATTAGCATTAAAATGAATCTGAGATTCGTAAAGTTCAGAATTTGTGTATGGCGTCATTATCCATTCCAATAACGGATAAGCACTGTCACCTACTATATAAGAATCTTCAGGAAAGAAGCGCTCAGGGTTCGATTGCACATCTTGAAATAAATCAGAGTCTTTAAGTATTGAAATATCTGACACTGATCCTGGCCAGCCCGTACAACAATGTATAAAATTCATCTTGTAATCACAAACTGCCTGAAAAATCAAAAATTATTTAATGATTTTAAGAAAAACACATTGAACCTGTACCAGTTTATAAGAGTAAGTCATTAAGTGAACCTATAGAGCTAAAGAAAAAGATTAATAAAGTAACAACTACTATCTGACTACAATGATTTCTGAATTACATTTTGGCAATCATTTTCGAACAAATTGAAAGATTAAATACAAAATACTACTGATAGTCTTACATTGTGTTTGGGTTGATAAAAATGTTAACCACTAGAAATATTATTTTTTGTAAACATGATATTACAGAGGGGAATTTTCAGTCACAAAAGTTTCTGGGAGGGAAGTGTGTCTATTCCACATGTAAAATCACTGAGCTTTATATTTCTATGGACCTGAAGACATTCTAAGACCAATGGCATAAAGTTGAAAATTTGATTTTTAATATTTATGAAATGAGAGAAAAAAATTCAATTCAAAGCTCTGTGTAGTCAAACAGTAATGCCAGTCTGAAAAACATATCAAGACATGTTGTTTTAAAATGTTCAAGTCAAGTACAGTAGCATATAATTGTATGCTATAAAATCGATTGTTTGTCACTTTGCATCAACTAATACAGGTACATAAAGACATGTTTCATTTAAAATGTTCATGGTCAAAATAGGTTCCTTGTCAAGTCATAATGTTAAAATAAAATACCTGAAGCGCTACAGAATGTTTCCCAGTTTTATCCAGATAGTAATCAGCATGCTGGCTCGGTCGGCGAATATTCACCCGACAAACGTCAATTACACCAACACATTTTGACAACGCCACAGAATTATTTGGATATAACACAGGGTACATACTATCACCCTCTTTAGGCCATGTGATAAAAATATGCATTAACTTATAGATACTGAAAGTTATTTTTGAAATAGCTTGTATCGTTACAGTTTCCTCTAAGTTGTATTTTTGAGCAATTTTAGAAAGTGGTACACTACTGCCTAGATATTCCAGCGCGATCAGCAATTGTTTTTCATATGGCATTTCTATTGAACGACCTGTTGTTGCTGTGCACGGGAACACAGTTGGCATGTTTTTCGAATTTTGAACAATCAAGTGAAATAACTCCTGAAAAACTGGTGCTGTCATTCTGTAAATGTTTCTGAAATCCTTTGAAGGAACCACAGACCAACAATTAGCACTGCTCGATGGTAGAAGAACTGCATTTTGTAATATTCCGCTATCGTCAGTATGTACGTTTCTATGAACTGGTTGTTGGTTGTCTTGATTTTCAAGAGGGACTTTTTGATCAACGATTTTCGCAGATTTTTCAAGTTTTTCGACCTCAGATTTGGCCACAACTGCTGTCACTACATCGGAAATTTGATCGTCTGTCAAAATATCCGAATAAATCACGTCATCTAATTCAATATCCAGCATATCCATAACAATCGGAATCATTGCCTGGAGAAGTTTGTTTTTGTCAGCCATTTTGAAACGAGATTTATCTCCCTTTAATTAAGAAATCCGAAGTGTTCTTTAAGTAATTTGTAAAATAATCCGAATTGCTTGGATATTTTGAAGTCTTACCATAGAACTGTATTATACTGTCAGTATACAGTTCTTTGGTCTAACATATCTCGTAAATTGGATAGAAAAAATTCATGGAATCCAATGAACGAAAGAAAAATAAAGCAATGATACTTTTACTACTCCTGAATGAATTTCCAAAGATAAAATACCTCCCCCACCCCCAATCGCATATGCATTTGGATAAATAAGCCTATAAACAAGAAGAAAGACCTGGAACTTGCGTAAATATTAAAGGGGCTTTTGGGTTCAAAAGTTTGATTAAATTCACCTTCAAACTAGGAAATTTACTACAGGTAGCCTTTATATATCATGAGAAGTCGGTAAACAATTTCATCTACAATTAATTAATATATTAATTTAGGTCACGTGGTTGCCCAGGCATGATGGTCAGTCCACTCTTTTAATTCCATCCATCTCGAGCAAACTGTCCACCAACCAACCGCTAGATAAACCCAGTAATTATTTAAAACCTTAATATCGATTTATACTCAGTCTAGATTATACCAGTCTGACAGGTAAATAGTAAATGTCAATAGAGTTACCTGTAGACTGGTTATCCGTGACTATATAACAGTATTTCCAGCTTCTGAGTTGACTAACAGGATAAAACTTGTCTCGATAGATGTCGATCAAAACAATGCTTTATTTAATATACAGGTGAGGCTTTTAGATCTTCTCTATATTTCTAACTATGAGGATGTTAACTGTTTAGGTTTGAAGGGATTTCTGTGAATTGAAATGGAGTTGAGCGCCTGATGGCAGTGTCTGTTTGATCTGAAGGATTAACGGTAAAATGACAGGTGAGACCAAGATTTTTAATTGTGGAATTACAGATTATCGGTCAACCACAAGAATTGGGAGGGGAGGGGGGTGGGGGATAGAAAAGAGACTGTTCCGGCTTTCAGATGCTTTTACTTTCACTTTCAAATCTGTTATCATTTTACATAGTAAAAGAATGGCCACCCATGAAAAATTTTATGAGCCCTCCTCACTTCTAAATGTCTAAAATCAAATAGCAATTTTCTATAAAATATTTGTGAAATGCCCCTAGTGATGTCATGAAATTCATTATTTTAATGGACTTAATGCAAATTGATTTTAACAGTGCCATTTACAGGGTAATCTTTAAAGAGGAACTCCCTTCACCCACTCCCCCCTCCCCTTTCACTCTTCATATTTCTCATCATTTTACATAAGGAAAGACAAGTTAGGAAAATTTTTCATTTTGAGACATAATCAAAGACATTAATATTTCAAGGTTACAGCTCAAACTTCAAAAGGTTCATTGACGTAAGGTAATTTAATATGCGAATATTTAATGAAGCAGTGTGAATATATAATTAGAAGATAACAAAAGGCATGACACTGAGATATTTTAAGAGATAGGGTGAACTAGATTTAAATTTTAATGGACAGATGCCAGGAAATTTCATTGTTCACCCAGAAAAATATATATTTCATAATTGCCATTAATATTCTAAGGGGAAAATAAACGACATAAAATATCTGGATCTACCTTGTTAGTCCCAAGTTAAAGGGCAAGTTTGTGTTAGCTTTTTAAAAATATAAACGATATTGCATAGTAATTTACAATTCAAAATGACCCCTTTTGTGATCCAATATTTCCTGTGATTAGCAAATAAATTTAAAATTTATCACGATGATCTGCTGATCAAATCTAATTATATATTGAAGGTTTACTACTGGAATATTTTAAATTGCTACCAAATTTTCAAGAAATGGGAATCGAAATTTATCTTTATTGGACAAAACTAAAATTTGGGTGTTTTAAATAAATTGCTAATCATATTTTTCAATCTAAATTGAACCCTGCTAGATTCTCAGAGAGTTCAAGATTAAAGATCTAAATAATTTGGTAAATCCTAATACGATATGAACAAATGATTTATGTGAACTCTCAAAAACACTGGAAAACCCAAATACCTTGTAAGCTATATTATCGATGTGGACTCTCTTAGAAAAATAGCAAGACTGACTAATTCAGCTATCAGTGAGACAAAGCCCATAGCAAGAGAAAATTTTAGCCTCCCCCCCCCCCCTACTGAAACCCCCCTTTAGGAAAAATTTAGACGACTTGAAAGACTTGTCGAGCCCCCCTTAAAAAATTTTGTCTCCCCCCCCATCCTAGGTTAGCTGCAGGCTTTAGTGACATCAGGTGTACCATCTGTTAATATGTTAAAAATGATTATCTTCATCTGGTTAATATCCTAGCTAAGTCTATCTTAGCTATCTGTTAATTACCAGTGATTAATTATTAATTACTTTTATTATCCTTCAGGTTAATCCCCTTATTGACTGATATTATCTCTCTGTTGTATAATTACAATAACAAAATATTTAATAATTCTTCTTTTATTTATTTTCAGAAGTTTTCACCTGTTCCAATAGACGCAACCAAGACTGAAGATATGTTAGTGGAATATTATCAACATTCTGTTAGAAATTAATCAAAACATCTCATCGAAATGGAATTTAACGAAACTCTGAAGTTAAACTCAAGCCAAGATTTCAATGTATCGGAACTGCTGTCGGCTGATTTGACCTCTAAAGTTCCCAAGGTCACATTCCTTCTGCTGTTTGGAGTAATAGGAATTGTTGGAAACGCTATGTTACTTCTGATATTGTTAAAAGGCAAGAAATCCATCATGACTGTATTGATTATAAATCTATGTTTTGTGGGTCTTTGTGAATGCTGGCTGAATATGTCCTTGGTTCTGGGAGCCTTGTTTTTAGA